TGTGCAATTTTAGTGGTTTTTGGGGGGTGGGATGGGAAAGGGAAAATAAAATCTGTTTAGCAAAAATGAATTTTTTTTTCTTTCAATGCGGGTAGTCTTGATTCACCTCTGGTCTTTATGAACGCTGCCGCCCTAACACTTCAGAATTGCCCAGCACCAAAGCAGGTTGCTGATACAGCTGCCTGGAGGCAGAGGCTGAAAAACAGGGGGTCCAATGAGGTCAGGACATACGGAACCAGCACCTCCAGTCTGAAATGCCACCGGCCAGATTGAGCAAGTCAAACCTCAGCAGCGGGACACTTCATTTTGTGTCATCGCAGGGTTATGAAATGAGGTGTGGACACTTAGTGTAAATGTTTCAAAGATGGCCACTGTTGCCTGGCAAGTTATCTTCCTCTTTCAAAACAAAACGAAGTCGTCTCTTTGGGACAATTACCAATTGAGTACAGGTGTGCTTTGCCAAACACCCACTCTACATCTGACAGGTTTGCATGTGGCCCGAGCACGTGTGTCTGGGGGTACGCACGTGGATCCTAGGCTCGCTGGCCTTGTGCTTGCTGTGTGTTGTATAGCTGGGTGGTCCCCACTCTAGGTGCCTCAGGTCCCACCAGGTGGGTGGCCTGGGCAGTTCCTGCTGTCGACGCCTCAGGTGAGCCCTTTACTGAGTCCCGCACGATGTTACTGCCTTGGCTGCTAGGCCAACTGCAGGGAAGGCAGGGTCTCCTATGGGAACCTATTGAGGGTGGGCATAGTACGGGCTGAAGGTGACTGGGGTGTACATTTCCATTGGCGATCTTTAGGGCCACATGAGGCGAAATGTGGGGGTCAGACCACCCGGTCTCCATCCCTTCCGACTAGGTGACAGCCTCAGGCAGCAGCTGGGCAGATGTGGGACTCCAGCCCCCAAAGCAAGTGGCTGGCGGCCCACACATGTAGACTGGGTTAGACGTTGCCAGAATGGACATTGAGGAAATGGCCTGGAGCCACGCCTGGCCACTTCCAGCTTCCGTAGATAGAAGGTGAATCCAACTCCGCACCAGCCCAAGGCCAATGGCCACAAGGCAGCGGTCAGATATGCCTGCCCCCTCCATCTTTACCCTATTCTGACACCCACGTCCCATTCACGGCACACTACTCTGCTGGCTTCCATAGTCTTGCAATGGTCACCCAAGACCCACAGACAATGCTCAGGTTACAGAACATTAAGGATACAGTTCTTTTGTCTGCGGTGGTGCACCTCAGCCATGCTGGCAGGCATGTCTCTCTCTGGTCCTCTGCCTCAAGCCACAGGCCCTTGGCCTCTGCCTGCCAAGTCTCATGGTCTCCGCACGGCTCTCCTCTGTCCCATGGTCTTGGTACTGCAGCCTCTGGTGCCTCCACCACTTCAGACAGGAATCGCACACGCGCTCTGCTGGTGGCTCCCTTTCTCGGTGGTTGAGGGATTCCTCTGCCCTGCTGAGATGGCCCACTCATAGCCCAGCCCATCCCTGACACCTGGTTGTCATTGACTGGGTGGCATAGAAAAGTCACACCAGGTAATTTTACCGCAGACATTAACACCTACACCTGTGTGTAAGGAGCCCTGGTGGCATAGTGGCTACACAGTGGGCTGCTAACCACAAGGTCAGCATTTCAAAACCACAGTCAGTCCGTGGGAGAAAGACGAGGATTTCTACTTCCCTAAAGAGTTAGAGTCCTAGAAACCCACAGGAGCAGTTCTACTCTCCTGTCAGGTCTCTGAGTCGGGATCGACTCGATGGCAGTGAGTTTGGAGTTTTTTATACCTGTGTATAAACATATTCAAGCTGTTGTACAGAATTCCCTATAGGACATCAGATGCTAAAGTAATTGGAAATGTTTTCATGTGCTGGTATTAGAATAAGATATTTCCCCACTAAAAGTAGCATTTGGGGGTGTCATCAGCTATCTCTCTACCCTTAGGGGGCTGGGATAGTTTGGTGTTTTTTATGCCAACATGGCTCCCATAGGAACATGTGGGTGGAATTTAGCCTGTCAATCAGGTCCCAGCTTGGTAAGAGGGCAACCAAGATATGTGGCTTTCCAAGGCTTGTGTCCATCTCTCTCTTGCCCTGGAGGTGGGGGACACTCTGCTTCACCTTCCTGTTGACAAGCCACTTGGAGCCATGCGGAGACCTGTGAGAGCCCTGGAGATGCTTCCACCGCACTGGATCCACAAGACTTTGCACCCACTAGCCTGTGATCGTCCTCTTTTGCATCATTACATATGCTGCATGAGTCTGAGGAGGGAATTATGGACTAATATCAGACTTATGGGCTATTATCAGACTTATGGACTTGATCTGGACTTGGCCAAAATGCTTTTTTAATATATAATTACTTTAATATATAAAGTTCTCTCTCACACACATATATGAGTATCTGAATTTGTTTCTTTAGTCAACCCAGTCTAACTCGCGCATAATGGTCAGCATGGGCCCAAAGCTGCTTCCTGTGAGGCGGAGGTCAGACATGCATCCACCTTTCAGCCTGGTTCCCAGTTCTCCCAGAACTCTTCTATGGTACGTTTTGGGGATGGCCTCACCGGGAGATAAGAGGAGGTGGCCCAGAAGAAGCAGATAGTGTTTCTTATAAAACCTCATGCCTTTCCATGGGTGCTAAGACCCTCTGTGATTATTTTTATTCGTGAGGCAGTGGATAAAAGAAATAGGGTACAGACAGACCTGGGAGATACAGAGTGTCATCACAGACTTTGTCTTGCTTGGATCCACAATCAGTGCTTATGGAAGCTGCTGTTGAGATCAAAAGACGTTGCATTAGGTAAATGTCCTGCACAAGATATCTCCAGGGTATTAAAAGCAAGGATGTTACTTTAAGGACCAGGATGCATCTAACCCACGCCGTGATGTTTTCAATTGCCTCCTGCGCATGCGCAAGTTGCACGTGGAGTAAGGAAGACAAGAAGAAGTGGTGCATTTGAATTGTGCAGGCGAGGAACACTGAACGTACCCGGGTGCTGCGAACAGGACAAGTGACTTGTCTTGGAAGAAGGACAGCCAGAGTGCTCAGTAGAGGCAAGGATGGCGAGGCTTTGTTTTATATACTTGGACATATTGTCGGGAGAGGCCCGTCCCTGGGGAAGGAGTGGAGGGGCAGCAAAGAAGAGGAAGGTCCCTCGATGAAGTGGATGGCCACAGTGGCTGCCACCATGGACTCGGGCAGGGAACAACTGTGGGATGGCACAGGGTCACTCTGGGTTGGGACTGACTCACTGCCACCTAACAGCCACGACAAGATGAAACACTTCTACCCTCACACACGGGGCCCCAGGAATTGGAATCGGCTCAGTGGCAGCAGGTTTTATAATTGGGCAATAAAAACAGAGGGA